AGAATTTTTTCAATGTTACCTTCATGATCGAGCAAAAGGGCAAACGAATGCATGAGTTTCAAAGAAATTTGTGAAGAATCATACAATATATAATTATAGCTCTGCAGTCTCTGCTTCCATCCATGGATGTTAAGACTCCAAGTCTCCAACCAATGATTAATCTACAAAAACAAGGAAGCAAAACTCTAACCGAGAAGAAGACTTGTACACTTTGCATGATGACAAAGGAACAATCAGTTTCCACCTTCCAATTACATAAGAACACCCAGGCAAATTTTGAAGCCATGGGTGCTGACCTAGATGCAGCAACTAAGCTCTACTGATTCCAATGTATACTACCGGTAAACCCCAACCTCCTTTTAAATTCATAAAATTGATTCGGAGAATGGAATCAAGCGGATCATATATCTGTCAAACGATAATTGGACAAGAAATAGTTGGTCCGCATCACCGCAGTGCATTCACGAAAGCCATCAATGAATCAACATCCCTCTTTTCTGAGGGGTACTTAATTGGCTTTGATGAGTGTTTTGGGAAGAAGAGTATTGTGGGGAAGCTTCCGAGTTGCAGCTCTTTCTTTGCATACTCCTTCTGGTCACCATCTGCTCTAAACTTTCCGACCTTCACCCCAGATGCCGCAAGTTTGTCAGCCAATTCAACATAGGATGCTTCCATTGCCTGTTCAGAGTTCAACACAACAATCGATTAGATCATTGGATTCACATCCTCCAACTAACAACATTTTTTAAGGTAAGATGTACCGACAACATTGTTGAATAAATGTTCCAAATGGTCTCCAACATTATTTACCTGGCAGAAGCGGCACCATGGAGCGTAAAGCACAACAATCCATGGCTCTCTTCGGTCCTCTAATTTAGCCAAATTCTCTATTCCTGGCCGGCTCAGCGTAACCAAATTCTGGCTGTTGAAAATGTCACTTTCAGTAGCTGTTCCATTGGCATACGCAGCACCATTTCCATTACCATTGAGATGAGCTGCACCATTTTGTTTCAGATTTCCTTTGTGGAGGCCACATTCCTTGGCCTTGGCATCCTCCCACCACCACCTTCCTTCCCTCTCATGTTGTCCTGGAAGAACAGGCCTTGTGCAGGGCTCGCATCCAATTGAGACGTATCCCTGGGAATGCAGTGAATTTACAGGCACATTCATTGCCCTGAGGAAGTTCCAAATATCTTTACCATCAACATTTGCCACTGGGTTCCACTTCACCAAGCTCCCAATGCCACCATCTATGCCCTCAAAAACTGGATCCACCTGGACCACTGGGATCTCAGACCTAGTACCTGGAGATTGATCCTTCCTTTGACCAGTGATCCAGGCACGCAGGCCCTTAAGGGCTCTTCTCAGGGGCCTCACTTTCCTCACACGGCAGCATTCCTGGTGCCCATCCTCATAAAATGAGAACAAACCCTTGCTCCTCACTAAAGCCTGAACCTCAACAGCATCAGGAAACATGTACTCTATATGGACTCCATAGTGCTTCTCAACTTGATCAAAAAACTGATATGTTTCCGGGTTTAACCTCCCTGTATCCAGGCTGAACACCCTAAATGGTCTACCAGTTAACTTTGCATACTCAATCAAAGCAACATCCTCTGCACCACTGCAAATGGGCAAAGTTAAACTTTAATTAGCACCCAAATTTAATCATATCAGAATTCTAATAGTATATTTAAGGTTTAACTTAAACATTCATCAGTATATTGCAAATATTAAAGACCTACAATAGATGGATATTAATCACTGAAAAGCTTTTCTTTTGTCTCGTGTGAATCTTACCAAAGACTAATATAATCACGTTTCCCTTTTTTTTTCCCCCCCGAAATATAATCATGTGTCTTTAGCATTTCAACTTGCAACAGCCTTCAGGTACCAACAAAAGATACTGCATATAATTGTTCTTTAAAAATTGTGGCAAATTAGAGCATGACAGAGAAAATGGTCAGATACTAAGGATTTTCCATGAGATACCCACATATCTAAATCTGCAGCACCTTACAAGCTAAATTTCACAATTTCATGAAGGTAAAAACCATGAATTGAACCAGAAAGCTCACCTGAAAGCAATAGCGATGTCATTTCCAAATTTCTCCAAAGCTTTATCTATGATTTCTAAGGGAGAAGCCTTTTCAAGCTCCTTGGCCAATCGCTCGTAATCCTCCGCCTCTACTTTCTCCGACATCTCTGCAAAATCCATCACATATTCCACCCAATTAAGTCAAGCCAAACCGAAACAAGAAAATTCGTAAGGGAGGGGGGGTTGCAATCAAATTAAACTAAAAGATTAACTTACCCGGAACAACGGTTGTTGCCGCAGCCTGAGGAACCATAGAATCATTACGCTTCGGCTCTGCATTCACAGGCCTAACCGCGCACCGTCTCTGCGAAGACAAATTCACCATCCCCTGGCGATCAAGCACCCGAAACGAACCGATTTGCGCAGCTGCAGAAAACACAATCACAAAACTTAATCAAAATAAACGAAACAAACACATCAAATTCGAACTCAAAAACAGA